CCAACCTCACACTGTGTCCCCTCACTTCCTGTCCCTGAGATCGGGGTCACCAGAACCGGAAGTGGGTCGCACAGAACACAAATTACTCACCCCATCATCCCCTCTCACCCCCTAACTCGGCTCCTGGTTTCAGTTTGAACTCTTTCCCCGCCTCCTCCCGGCCTCCGTCCGTCACCATGGAGATGTCACTCGCGCTGACTTCCGAGGGCGGGGTCTGGGTGACGAGTGTCAGGAATGCCGGTCAGTGATTGGATAAAACCACACACACGTAACTCGCCCTCTTCGTGACAGTTGAAGGACTTCTCAACCAAACCGGCTTCCCCCAGTCCAGAGCCCCGCCCACTACACAGGCCGGGCCCAATCCCCTCCATCAGGGAGGAGAGTGCGTGACGGAGCCTGGCAGCGGGTTCGGGTTTGACTGAGGAAGAACAAGGAAAAAGAATAAACGTCAACGGTTTTCCTCCCCCTGGTGGGTTCATAGACCGGGATTGGGGGAGGGGAAATCCACGGGGGGGGGGTTTACATTGGGGGGTGTATGGGGGGGGGGGGGGGTGGAGATGAAGTTCCTCTGCAGACCCTTCCTGCCCCCGGATGAGCTCCACCCACATTTTATGAGCCCCCAATACCCCCCACCTCTGGGGGGGGGGGGGTCACAGATAATACCAAACTCCTGCCCTCCAATCCTCTGAATATTCATATTCCCTCCCCCAATTACATTTCCCCTCCCTCTAATACATCCCCTTTACCCATTACATTCCCCTCCCTTAAAATCCCCTCCCCCAATACATCTCCCCCTCCCCCCCAATAACATCTCCCCTCCCCCAATACATATCCCCTCCCCCCAATAACATATCCCCTCCCCCCAATACAAATTCCCCTCCCCCAATACATATCCCCTCCCCCAATACAATCCCCTTGTCCCCCAATACAATCCCCATCCCCCCAATAAATTCCCCATCCCCCCAATACATATCCCCTCCCCCAATAAACATATCCCCTCCCCCAATAACATTATCCCCTCCCCCAATCATAACCAACCCTCCCCTCCATAATCACCCATCCCCCCAATACAAATCCTCTCCCCCAAAAAATTATCCCTCCCCCCTTAACCAATACTTTCCCCTACCCCCAATACATACCCCCTCCCCCCAATACATACCCCCCCTTTTCCCAATAACCCCCCCTCCCCCTAATATTAATCTCCTCCCCCTAATATTAATCTCCTCCCCCTAATATTAATCTTCCTCCCCCTAATATCAATTTAAATCCCCTCCCCCTAATAAACATCTCCTCCCTCCAATAACATTTCCCCCCCCCCCAATACATATCCCCCCCCAATACATATCCCCCCCCAATACATTCCCCCCCCCAATACATATCTCCCCCAATACATATCCCCTCCCCCCAATACATATCCCTTCCCCCCAATACATATCCCCCCCCCCAATACATTCCCCCCCCCCCAATACATATCCCTTCCCCCAATACATTTCCCCCCCTCAATATCACCCCCCCCCAACATATCCCCTCCCCCAATACATACCCCCTCCCTCTAATACACATCCCCTCCCCCCTACAAAATCCCCCTTCCCCCAATACGTATCCCCTCCCCCCAAAATACGTATCCCCTCCCCCCAATACGTATCCCCTCCCCCCAATACATACCCCTCCCCCCCAACACATATCCCCTCCCGCTCCATACAAATCCCCCTCCCCCCAATACATATCAAATCCCCCCAATTCATAACCCCTCCCCCAATAACATCCCCATCCCCCCAATACATATCCCCTCCCGCCATACAAATCTCCCAATTCCCAATACATATCCCCCCCCCCAATACATACCCCCTTCCCTCTAATATATCCCCTCCCCCATATCCTTACCCCCCAATACATATCCTCTCCCCCCCCCAATACATATCCTCTCCCTCCCCAATACATATCCCCTCCCTCTAATACATATCCCCTCCCCCAATACATATCCCCTCCCCCAATACATCCTCCTCCCGCAATACATATCCCCCTCCCACAATACATCCCCCTCCCCCCAATACAAATCCCCTCCCACCATACAAATCCCCCTCCCCCATAACATATCCCCCTCCCCCCCAATACAAATCCCCTCCCCCCAAACACACATATCCCCTCCCACCATACAAATCCCCCTCCCCCCAATACATATCCCCTCCCGCCATACAAATCCCCCTCCCCCCAATACATATCCCCTCCCCCAATACATATCCCCTCCCCCAATACATCCTCCTCCCGCAATACATATCCCCCTCCCCCCAATACATCCCCCTCCCCCCAATACAAATCCCCTCCCACCATACAAATCCCCCTCCCCCCAATACAAATCCCCTCCCCCCAACACATATCCCCTCCCACCATACAAATCCCCCTCCCCCCAATACATATCCCCTCCCCCAGTACATATCCCCCTCCCCCCCCCCAATACATATCCACATCCCCCCAATACATATCCCCTCCCGCCATACAAATCCCCCTCCCCCCAATACATATCCCCTCCCCCAATACATATCCCCTCCCCCAATACATATCCCCTCCCCCAATACATATCCCCAAATAAAAATCTCCAATTCATCTTCCTACATAATCTGTGTGCCCCGTGTCTGGATCATACGTGATTGGGGTGCCCCGTGTCTGGATCATACGTGATTGGGGTGCCCCGTGTCTGGATCATACGTGATGGGGGTGCCCCTGTCATACGTGAGGTATGTGTGCCCCGTGTCCAGATCATACGTGAGGTATGCCCGGTGTCCGGATCATACGTGAGATATGTGTGCCCCGTGTCTGGATCATACGTGAGGTATGCCCCGTGTCTGGATCATACGTGATCGGGGTGCCCCGTGTCTGGATCATACGTGATCGGGGTGCCCCGTGTCTGGATCATACGTGATCGGGGTGCCCCGTGTCTGGATCATACGTGATCGGGGTGCCCCGTGTCTGGATCATACGTGAGGCATGGAGCCCCTCTCTGTTATCAGCTCCTCCTGCGTGTCTCTTATCTGTGCTGTCAGAGGAGTACATGGACTGTGTCCTCCGGCCCTCCTGCCCCTCCTCCATTACACATGTCAGTGTCTGTGCTGGGAGGTGAGTACAGAGGGGTCATAGGGGGCCCCGGGGCCACATCACAGCAGATCCATCCTGCCCCCTCCCCCACTGTCTTCCTATTGTTGTCTTCTCTTTGTCTGCCTCTTGCTGGGGCTGCAGACAGGACTATAGATGTACCGGGGTAGGCGGAATGCTCTGCAGGCAGGACTATAGATGTACCGGGGTAGGCGGAATGCTCTGCAGGCAGGACTATAGATGTACCGGGGTAGGCGGAATGCTCTGCAGGCAGGACTATAGATGTACCGGGGTAGGCGGAATGCTCTGCAGGCAGGACTATAGATGTACCGGGGTAGGCGGAATGCTCTGCAGGCAGGACTATAGATGTACCGGGGTGGGTGGAATACTCTGCAGACAGGACTATAGATGTACCGGGGTAGGCGAATGCTCTGCAGGCAGGACTATAGATGTACCGGGGTAGGCGGAATGCTCTGCAGGCAGGACTATAGATGTACCGGGGTAGGCGGAATGCTCTGCAGGCAGGACTATAGATGTACCGGGGTGGGTGGAATACTCTGCAGACAGGACTATAGATGTACCGGGGTGGGTGGAATACTCTGCAGACAGGACTATAGATGTACCGGGGTGGGTGGAATACTCTGCAGGCAGGACTATAGATGTACCGGGGTGGGTGGAATACTCTGCAGACAGGACTATAGATGTACCGGGGTGGGCGGAATACTCTGCAGACAGGACTATAGATGTACCGGGGTGGGTGGAATGCTCTGCAGACAGGACTATAGATGTACCGGGGTGGGTGGAATGCTCTGCAGACAGGACTATAGATGTACCGGGGTGGGTGGAAATGGAATGCTCTGCAGGCAGGACTATAGATGTACCGTGGTGGGTGGAATGCTCTACAGACAGGACTATAGATGTACCGGGGGTGGGTGGAATGCTCTGCAGGCAGGACTATAGATGTACCGGGGTGGGTGGAATACTCTGCAGACAGGACTATAGATGTACCGGGGTGGGTGGAATACTCTGCAGACAGGACTATAGATGTACCGGGATGGGCGGAATGCTCTGCAGACAGGACTATAGATGTACCGGGGTTGGGTGGAATACTCTGCAGACAGGACTATAGATGTACCGGGGTGGGTGGAATACTCTGCAGGCAGGACTATAGATGTACCGGGGTGGGTGGAATGCTCTGCAGACAGGACTATAGATGTACCGGGGTGGGTGGAATACTCTGCAGGCAGGACTATAGATGTACCGGGGTGGGTGGAATGCTCTGCAGGCAGGACTATAGATGTACCGGGGTGGGTGGAATGCTCTGCAGGCAGGACTATAGATGTACCGGGGTGTGGGTGGAATGCTCTGCAGACTGGACTATAGATGTACCAGGGGTGGGTGGAATGCTCTGCAGACAGGACTATAGATGTACCGGGGTGGGTGGAATGCTCTGCAGACTGGACTATAGATGTACTGGGGTGGGTGGAATGCTCTGCAGACAGGACTATAGATGTACCAGGGTGGGTGGAATACTCTGCAGGCAGGACTATAGATGTACCGGGGGGGTGGAATGCTCTGCAGACAGGACTATAGATGTACCGGGGTGGGTGGAATGCTCTGCAGGCAGGACTATAGATGTACCGGGGTGGGTGGAATGCTCTGCAGACAGGACTATAGATGTACCGGGTGGTGGGCGGAATGCTCTGCAGACAGGACTATAGATGTACCGGGGGGTGGGTGGAATGCTCTGCAGGCAGGACTATAGATGTACCGGGGTGGGTGGAATGCTCTGCAGACAGGACTATAGATGTACCGGGGTGGGTGGAATGCTCTGCAGGCAGGACTATAGATGTACCGGGGTGGGTGGAATACTCTGCGACAACCTCTGATCTTCTCTCTCTTCCACAGACATGGCGAGTCCGTCATCGGGAAGATCAGCAGAAAATGGGGGCCACAGGAAGAGGCGGGGCCCCGGAGCCTTCGCCATAGCGTACCTGGTCATCTATAACGTCATCATGACGGCCGGGTAAGGAAATCCTTGCTGAATGGAGGAGGGGATCCCATCATCCTCATCCTCATATCTGCTCTGTGGTAACCCATAGCAACCAGCTAGAAAATGGGAAGGTGGTCATGGCAGCACACCGATCTGCACCGGCCATTGCTCTTCGCACCATCCTCCCCCCCCCCCCCCCCCCCCCAGTACCATACACGTTGTCACCAGCGTGCCACCCCCTCCCCCGACCGAGGGATCACATGTAGGGATGATGGACGGCGCTTGTCTACGGTACAGGGCATGCTCAGGACGAGCGCCGTCACTAGGCGTGATTGGGGAGGGGCAAACACCTCAGACAGCAGAGCTATGCCAGTGCTCCTCGCTCATGTTCCGGCACTACGGATGTCGGGGAGGGGGGGGTGGGATATGATGAGCCCCCCCCACAGCGCATGTACAGCTCCATTCAGGTGCGGGATTCCCTCCCAATCAGAGATCTGATTTCCATCACCGCCTAGTGAGCATCCTCCCCATAGGCCCAGCCAGCTCCCAGCCCCCCCCTGTCTCTTCAGGCAGTGACAGGCTCAGCTGGATCCACCACTTAGAAATCCAGGTTCATCTGTTGCTAGGATGTGGACTGACTGCCTGCATCCTAGCAACCAATGATGGGGTGAGGCAAGAGATTGGGTGCTGGAGCTACAGTCATGACATCACAGGGGAGGGGGTGCAGCTGTGGGCAGCTTAGGGTAATGGTTGGTGTGATCCGGATCGGGGACACGAGCGACTGGGCCCAACTATAGGAAATCCACAAATGGGGCTTCTGCCGGGGGAGGAGCTGAGGGGCAGCAATACAGGAACTCCTCACTGGGGGGGCAGCAATACAGGAACTCCTCACTGGGGGGGGCAGCAATACAGGAACTCCTCACTGGGGGGGCAGCAATACAGGAACTCCTCACTGGGGGGGGCAGCAATACAGGAACTCCTCACTGGGGGGGCAACAATACAGGAACTCCTCACTGGGGGGGGCAGAAATACAGGAACTCCTCACTGGGGGGGGGGCAGCAATACAGGAACTCCTCACTGGGGGGGGCAGCAATACAGGAACTCCTCACTGGGGGGGCAGCAATACAGGAACTCCTCACGGGGGGGGCAACAATACAGGGACTCCTCACTGGGGGGGGCAGCAATACAGGAACTCCTCACGGGGGGGGCAACAATACAGGGACTCCTCACTGGGGGGGGGGCAGCAATACAGGAACTCCTCACTGGGGGGGGCAGCAATACAGGAACTCCTCACTGGGGGGGGGGGGCAGAAATACAGGAACTCCTCACTGGGGGGGGGGCAAGACAAGGACTCATAGGTGATTGTACTGCCGGCATCTCAATGTCATTACCTGGGAGAGTCCCCCTTTAAGGAGCTAAGAACCAGCTGCATGCCTTACAGCGCCTTGAAGAAGTCCCCCCCCCCCCCCCCCCCCCTGAAATGTCCCCCATGTTGTCATGTTACAATGTATCCCCCCCCTGAAATGTCCCCCATGTTGTCATGTTACAATGTATTCCCCCCCCCCCCCCCGAAATGTCCCCCATGTTGTCATGTTACAATGTATTCCCCCCCCCCCCTGAAATGTCCTCCATGTTGTCATGTTACAATGTATTCCCCCCCCCCCTGAAATGTCCCCCATGTTGTCATGTTACAATGTATCCCCCCCCCCTGAAATGTCCCCCATGTTGTCATGTTACAATGTATTCCCCCCCCCCCCCCCCCCCCCCCCCCCCGAAATGTCCCCCATGTTGTCATGTTACAATGTATTCCCCCCCCCCCTGAAATGTCCTCCATGTTGTCATGTTACAATGTATTCCCCTCCCCCCTGAAATGTCCCCCATGTTGTCATGTTACAATGTATTCCCCCTCCCCCCTGAAATGTCCCATTGGGACATTTCGGGGGGGGGGGGGGATTACATTGTAACATGACAGGGGTGTGAAGGCTTTTCCAGGCACTGTAGTAGGTGAGAAGTGAATGCCGCGCGCAGGATAGGTCCCGATCTGCGGTCACTTACCTGGATGTTCGGTGTGGTTGTGTTGCAGGTGGTTGGTGATCGCCGTCGGGTTGGTGCGCACTTACCTCAGCAAAGGAAGCTACCACAACCTGTACTACTCCATAGAGCGGCCGCTGAAGTTCTTCCAGACCGGCGCCCTGCTGGAGGTAGGTATTGCGCTCTCCGCTCTGTAGGGATCATTGTGTGCACACAGGAGGAGGCTGACTTCTGTCTTTCTGTTTTCAGATTGCGCACTGTGCCGTAGGTAAGTACTCTGCCCTCTGCCTTCGGGAGGCGGGATTGGAGAATTGTGTGCATTGATCGGTTGACCAATCACATCACACCGCAGTGCATGGTGGCCATCGAATCTGCCGGCTGTAATACATATCAGGACACAACAATATGGCGCATTATTACGACGCTGCCGCATGGCGCTCCCGTCTCCTGTGCCGCATGGCGCTCCCGTCTCCTGTGCCGCATGGCGCTCCCGTCTCCTGTGCCGCATGGCGCTCCCGTCTCCTGTGCCGCATGGCGCTCCCGTCTCCTGTGCCGCATGGCTCCCGTCTCCTGTGCCGCATGGCGCTCCCGTCTCCTGTGCCGCATGGCGCTCCCGTCTCCTGTGCCGCATGGCGCTCCCGTCTCCTGTGCCGCATGGCGCTCCCGTCTCCTGTGCCGCATGGCGCTCCCGTCTCCTGTGCCGCATCGCGTTCCCCTCTCCTGTGCCGCATCGCGTTCCCCTCTCCTGTGCCGCATCGCGTTCCCCTCTCCTGTGCCGCATCGCGTTCCCCTCTCCTGTGCCGCATCGCGTTCCCCTCTCCTGTGCCGCATCGCGTTCCCCTCTCCTGTGCCGCATCGCGTTCCCCTCTCCTGTGCCGCATCGCGTTCCCCTCTCCTGTGCCGCATCGCGTTCCCCTCTCCCGTGCCGCAACGCGCTCCCGTCTCCCGCGCCGCATGGCGCTCCCGTCTCCCGCGCCGCATGGCGCTCCCGTCTCCCGCGCCGCATGGCGCTCCCGTCTCCCGCGCCGCATGGCGCTCCCGTCTCCCGTGCCGCATGGCGCTCCCGTGCCGCGTCGCCCTCCGTCTCCCGTGCCGCATGGCGCTCCCGTGCCGCATGGCGCTCCCGTCTCCCGTGCCGCATGGCGCTCCCGTCTCCCGTGCCGCATGGCTCTCCCGTGCCGCATGGCGCTCCCGTGCCGCATCGCCCTCCCGTCTCCCGTGCCGCATCGCGCTCCCGTCTCCCGTGCAGCATCGCGCTCCCGTCTCCCGTGCAGCATCGCGCTCCCGTCTCCCGTGCAGCATCGCGCTCCCGTGCCGCAACGCGCTTCCGTCTCCCGTGCCGCAACGCGCTTCCGTCTCCCGTGCCGCAACGCGCTCCCGTCTCCCGTGCCGCAACGCGCTCCCGCCTCCCGTGCCGCAACGCGCTCCCGCCTCCCGTGCCGCAAGGCGCTCCCACCTCCCGTGCCGCAACGCGCTCCCGTCTCCCGTGCCGCAACGCGCTCCCGTCTCCCGTGCCGCAACGCGCTCCCGTCTCCCGTGCCGCAACGCGCTCCCCCGTCTCCCGTGCCGCAACGCGCTCCCACCTCCCGTGCAGCATCGCGCTCCCGTCTCCTGTGCCGCAACGCGCTCCCGTCTCCTGTGCCGCAACGCGCTCCCACCTCCTGTGCCGCATCGCGCTCCCGTCTTCTGTGCCGCAACGCGCTCCTACCTCCTGTGCCGCAACGCGCTCCCACCTCCTGTGCAGCATCGCGCTCCCGTCTCCTGTGCTGCATCGCGCTCCTACCTCAGTGTCCATCTGTACTATCAGTGCCACCTATCAGTGCAGCCTCATCAGTGTCCATCTGTGCTATAACGGGACTGGACCCCGACTGCACTCGGGTATTTCCGTTAGACTCCGGCTTCCCTGTCTGATCACAGATCCCCGGACCCCACCGCTGACCATACAAGACGAGACAACCAGACTTGGAAGGCAACCAGAAATAGACGGCTTTATTTTACCACAGACACACAATATATACACGGGGCGGGGCAATACATTTAGTAATGAGACACACAGCAGACACCCCCCCACCAAGCCAATACACAAACACATACATCCCATAATAGTTCGCTACTTTGTTTACTGAAAGTAGCAAAAAATGTCAGAAGCCAGAAACAGCCGCTGTAAAAATGCCCGGTGTGCACGAGGACCTCAGAGTGGGGGCACTCTAATACCGGAGGTGTGTTACTGGCCAGATCAGGTGAAAACAGAGGGGGGGGGGAATGCATGAAAAAAAAAAAAGAAAACTAATGCGGCCGCCACATGACTGGTAAGCTGCAATATGGGACGGTTTTGGTTTTCAGAACGCTTTACTGTCGGGTTCGGCTTTGTGGACACGTGTGGATGACATGTACAATCCTCAGTGATGAGCGCTCCGTGTATTCCTCCCGGAGGGGGGCGGTATTAGTACTGGGTTCTCGGTATGTGTCCATATATTGTATCTCTGTGACGTGTGTTGTGTCTTCATGTGACGTCTCTCCTCCTCCCTCCCAGGAATTGTGCCTTCCTCCGTGGTCCTCACCGCGTTCCAGGTCATGTCCCGAGTCTTCCTGACGTGGGCCGTCACACACAGCGTCCGGGAGGTGCGTTTCATCAGATATACCGACAATTCCCATCGTCCTGTATATTCTGCTTCCTGAGAAAGACCTCTCACACTTTATCAGCTCCTCCCACTTCCTGGGGGAGGGAGGTCTACGGGTTTAATGCTCTAACAGTAAAGAACCCTTTCCTCAGTCTAAGGTTAAAGCTTTTTCCCTCCAAACTGAGAGGAATGGATTATTGCAGTAATTGGAGTCACCCGATATATTTGTACATTCTCCTCCCCTCTGAACTGGGAGACATCGATTGTGTTCTCTGTCCCCCATCCTCATAGCTGAGTCTCCTCCGTCCCCTATAACTGAGCTCCTCCATCCACCTTACCTGAGCTCCTCCGTCCACCTTACCTGAGCTCCTCCATCCCCCATACCTGAGTCTCCTCCGTCCCCCATACCTGAGTCTCCTCCGTCCCCCATACCTGAGTCTCCTCCGTCCCCCATACCTGAGTCTCCTCCGTCCCCCATACCTGAGTCTCCTCCGTCCCCCATACCTGAGTCTCCTCCGTCCCCCCATACCTGAGTCTCCTCCGTCCCCCATACCTGAGTCTCCTCCGTCCCCCATACCTGAGTCTCCTCCGTCCCCCATACCTGAGTCTCCTCCGTCCCCCATACCTGAGTCTCCTCCGTCCCCCATACCTGAGTCTCCTCCGTCCCCCATACCTGAGTCTCCTCCGTCCCCCATACCTGAGTCTCCTCCGTCCCCCATACCTGAGTCTCCTCCGTCCCCCATACCTGAGTCTCCTCCGTCCCCCATACCTGAGTCTCCTCCGTCCCCCATACCTGAGTCTCCTCCGTCCCCCATACCTGAGTCTCCTCCGTCCCCCATACCTGAGTCTCCTCCGTCCCCCATACCTGAGTCTCCTCCGTCCCCCATACCTGAGTCTCCTCCGTCCCCCATACCTGAGTCTCCTCCGTCCCCCATACCTGAGTCTCCTCCGTCCCCCATACCTGAGTCTCCTCCGTCCCCCATACCTGAGTCTCCTCCGTCCCCCATACCTGAGTCTCCTCCGTCCCCCATACCTGAGTCTCCTCCGTCCCCCATACCTGAGTCTCCTCCGTCCCCCATACCTGAGTCTCCTCCGTCCCCCATACCTGAGTCTCCTCCGTCCCCCATACCTGAGTCTCCTCCGTCCCCCATACCTGAGTCTCCTCCGTCCCCCATACCTGAGTCTCCTCCGTCCCCCATACCTGAGTCTCCTCCGTCCCCCATACCTGAGTCTCCTCCGTCCCCCATACCTGAGTCTCCTCCGTCCCCCATACCTGAGTCTCCTCCGTCCCCCATACCTGAGTCTCCTCCGTCCCCCATACCTGAGTCTCCTCCGTCCCCCATACCTGAGTCTCCTCCGTCCCCCATACCTGAGTCTCCTCCGTCCCCCATACCTGAGTCTCCTCCGTCCCCCATACCTGAGTCTCCTCCGTCCCCCATACCTGAGTCTCCTCCGTCCCCCCCATACCTGAGCTCCTCCGTCCCCCCCATACCTGAGCTCCTCCGTCCCCCCCCCCCCACCTGAGCTCCTCCGTCCCCCCCATACCTGAGCTCCTCCGTCCCCCCCATACCTGAGCTCCTCTGTCCCCTCATAGTTGAGCACCTCCATCCCCCCATAACCGAGCTCCTCCGTCCCTCATAACTGAGCTCCTCCGTCCCCCCATACCTGAGCTCCTCCGTCCCCTCATAGTAGAACACCTCCTTCCCCCCATAAGCTGATCCAAGCCTGAGGATGGGGTGATGTAGTCACTGGTTGGATTTCTGTTGTTCGGTGATAGGTTCAGAATGAGGACTCGGTGCTGCTGTTCGTTACGGCGTGGACAGTCACAGAAATCATCCGATACTCGTTTTATACATTCAGCCTCCTCAACCATCTCCCCTACATCATCAAATGGGCCAGGTAAGCAGGGGCGGGGCAGGATGGGGTATCTGAACACAGGAACAGTGAATGTCTTTGTTTGACATATCTAGGTGAGCAGGGGCGGGGCAGGGCCAGGAAAGCAGGGGCGGGATGGGGGTGTGAGGACAGAGGAACAGCGATCCTCATATAAATATCTGCTTCACATATCTAGGTGAGCAGGGGCAGGGCCAGGAAAGCAGGGGCGGGATGGGGTGGGGTGTGAGGACAGAGGAACAGCGATTCTCATATATAAATGTCTATGCTTCACATATCTAGGTAAGCAGGGGTGGGGCCAAGAAAGCAGGGGTGGGGTGTGGGGACAGAGGAACAGAGATCCTCATATATAAATGTCTGTGTTTCACATATCTAGGTAAGCAGGGGTGGGGCCAAGAAAGCAGGGGTGGGGTGTGGGGACAGAGGAACAGAGATCCTCATATATAAATGTCTGTGTTTCTGTGTTTCACATATCCAGGTAAGCAGGGGCAGGGCCAGGAAAGCAAGGATGGGGTGGGGACAGAGGACCAGCGATCCTCATATATAAATGTCTTTTGTTTCACATAGCTAGGTGAGCAGGGGCGGGGCCAAGAAAGCAGGGGCAGGATTAGGTGGGGCCAGGAAAGCAGGGGTGGGGTGTGGGGACAGAGGAACAGAGATCCTCATATATAACTGTATTTGTCTTACATAGCTAGGCGAGCAGGGGCGGGGCCAGGAAAGCAGGGGCAGGATTAGGTGGGGCCAGGAAAGCAGGGGTGGGGTGCGGGGAGAGAGGAACAGAGATCTTCATATATAAATATCTTTGTTTCGCATAGCTAAGCAAGCAGGGATGAAGCCAGGAAAGCAGGGGCAGGATTGGGTGGGGCCAGGAAAGCAGGGGCAGGATTGGGTGGGGCCAGGAAAGCAGGGGCAGGATTGGGTGGGGCCAGGAAAGCAAGGGCAGGATTGGGTGGGGCCAGGAAAGCAGGTGCAGGATTGGGTGGGGCCAGGAAAGCCGGGGCATGATTGGGTGGGGCCAGGAAAGCAGGTGCAGGATTGGGTGGGGCCAGGAAAGCAGGTGCAGGATTGGGTGGGGCCAGGAAAGCCGGGGCATGATTGGGTGGGGCCAGGAAAGCAGGGGCAGGATTGGGTGGGGCCAGGAAAGCAGGGGCAGGATTGGGTGGGGACAGTTAGGTTCTTCCTGCCTCTGCAGTTGGCTGCTGATCATGTGATCACTAAGAGCCAATCACAGGGATCGTTCCATAGGGAAGCCCAAGAAACTCCTCTGGGGTTAACATTCTTAAAGGGCCGGCAGTAGGGGGTTAGAGTCTCTGCGTTCTATCATTGTTGGTCGGCCGTCACAGCAGATTGCTCCACATTGTCTGGCAGGTACACGCTGTTCATCATTCTCTACCCCATGGGCGTGGCCGGGGAGCTGCTGACCATCTACGCTGCACTGCCATTCGTCAAGCACACCGGACTGTACTCCATCAGACTGCCCAACAATTCCAACTTCTCCTTCGACTACTACACCTTCCTCATCCTCGTCATGATCTCCTACATCCCCAGTGAGTACACTCTATTATTTCAGTATGTTGGGGGTTTTGGCCCCTCCCACCTCCTATTTAAAAAAAGGAAAAAAAAGTGTCCCTGTTTTCCTCTTCACACTCCAGTGCTGCCTCCAGCTTCCTCCTCCAGCCTCATCACGGCAGAAGGACACTCCGTCATTCAGCCCACTTCCTGTGAGCCCGGCCGGTCATTTGGGATGCCTGGAGTTCTGCTTTAACCCCTTCCCATCTGGCCATTGTATACTGCCGGGCGGTGGCAGTGCAGGGGAGGGTGGGTGTTTATAAACGGCCTCCCCACCCCCTGCTTGTGCGCCCCCTGGAAGCGCAGCACCGCAATCCGGTACATGCTGTGTCCTCCAGACACAGTGGAACACTGATTGTCGTAGAGACCTCTGTGCGAGGTCCCGATCATGTGATCACTGATTGGCCAATCAGTGATCACATGCAGAGTAGTAGGCAAGATGTCACTTCTGATATCATTGCTTACTACGTGTGAAATCTGTGAATGATCACAGAGATCACATGGTACAGGGCCATTCACAACAACCTTGTACCATGTGACAAGCTGTGACCAATCACAGCTCACACAGTATTTCTCAATGGCTGCAGGAATGCCGCCAGAGAGAAGGAGAAATGATTCCTCTTACAGCCTTTATAGGTGTGAAAGCAATCACCCCCCCACAAGTAGTACAGGGTCACCATGGTGACCCTGTACTGCTAGGGTGACGGTATGTTAAAAAAAAAAAACATAAATAATAATATAAAAATGTAAAAAAAATTTTTAAAATGATAATTTTTGGTTATAAACTAATTTGGGTTATTTTTGTTTTTTACTAAAAAGATAACGGAATAAATTTTGGCCGAGATTTATGATGAAAGATTATTCATTTGCAAAATTTTATAAGAAAAACTTTTTTTTCAAAATTTTTGGACATTTTCATTTACATAGCAAAAAAAATAAAACTCCCAGAAGTGAATAAATACCACCAAAATAAAGCTTTATCTGTCTCAAAAAAATGCTAAAAAAATTAATCTGGGTACAGTGTTGCATGACCGCGCAATTGTCATTCAAAGTGTGATAGCGCTGAAAGCTGAAAACAGGCCTGGACTGGAAGGGGGGGGGAGTGTCCGGACTGGAAGGGGGGGGGAGTGTCCGGACTGGAAGGGGGGGGAGTGTCCGGACTGGAAGGGGGGGGGGGGGGGGGGGGGAGTGTCCGGACTGGAAGGGGGGGGGGGGGACTAGTGTCCGGACTGGAAGGGGGGGGGGGAGAGTGTCCGGACTGGAAGGGGGGGGGGGAGTGTCCGGACTGGAAGGGGGGGGGGGGGAGTGTCCGGACTGGAAGGGGGGGGAGTGTCCGGACTGGAAGGGGGGGGGGGAGTGTCCGGACTGGAAGGGGGGGGGAGTGTCCGGACTGGAAGGGGGGGGGGAAGTCTCCGGACCGGAAGGGGGGGGGGGGTGAAGTGTCCGGACTGGAAGGGGGGGGGGAAGTGTCCGGACTGGAAGGGGGGGGGGAAGTGTCCGGACTGGAAGGGGGGGGGGAAGTGTCCGGACTGGAAGGGGGGGGGAAGTGTCCGGACTGGAAGGGGGGGGGGGGGGGAAGTGTCCGGACTGGAAGGGGGGGGGGGGAAGTGTCCGGACTGGAAGGGGGGGGGGGAAGTGTCCGGACTGGAAGGGGGGGGGGGGAAGTGTCCGGACTGGAAGGGGGGGGGGGGGGGAAGTGTCCGGACTGGAAGGGGGGGGGGGGGGGGGAAGTGTCCGGACTGGAAGGGGGGGGGGGGGAAGTGTCCGGACTGGAAGGGGGGGGGGGGGAAGTGTCCGGACTGGAAGGGGGGGGGGGGGGGGAAGTGTCCGGACTGGAAGGGGGGGGGGGGGAAGTGTCCGGACTGGAAGGGGGGGGGGGGGAAGTGTCCGGACTGGAAGGGGGGGGGGGGGGAAAGCGTCCGGGACTGGAAGGGGGGGGGGGGGGGAAAGCGTCCGGACTGGAAGGGGGGGGGGGAAAAGCGTCCGGACTGGAAGGGGGGGGGAAAGCGTCCGGGACTGGAAGGGGGGGGCGGGAAAGGGGGGGGGAAAGCGTCCGGACTGGAAGGGGGGGGGGAAAGCGTCCGGACTGGAAGGGGGGGGGGGAAAGCGTCCGGACTGGAAGGGGGGGGGGGGGGAAAGCGTCCGGACTGGAAGGGGGGGGGGGGGGAAAGCGTCCGGACTGGAAGGGGGGGGGGGGAAAGCGTCCGGACTGGAAGGGGGGGGGGGGGAAAGCGTCCGGACTGGAAGGGGGGGGGGGGGGGGAAAGCGTCCGGACTGGAAGGGGGGGGGGGGAAAGCGTCCGGACTGGAAGGGGGGGGGGGGGGGGAAAGCGTCCGGACTGGAAGGGGGGGGGGGGGGGGAAAAGCGTCCGGACTGGAAGGGGGGGGGGGGGGGGGTTAAAGCGTCCGGACTGGAAAGCGTCCGGACTGGAAGGGGGGGGGGGGAAAAAGCGTCCGGACTGGAAGGGGGGGGGGGGAGAGTGTCCGGACCGGAAGGGGGGGGGGAGTGTCCGGACCGGAAGGGGGGGGGAGTGTCCAGACCGGAGGGGGGGGGGGGGGCGGAAGTGTCCGGACTGGAAGGGGGGGGGGAGTGTCCGGACCGGGAGGGGGGGGGGGCGGAAGTGTCCGGACTGGAAGGGGGTGAAAGTGTCCGGACTGGAAGGGGGGGGAAGCGTCCGGACAGGAAGGGGGGGAAAGCGTCCGGACTGGAAGGGGGGGGAGTGTCCAGACTGGAAGGGGGGGTTGGGTGAAGTCTTCGGACTGGAAGGGGGGGGGTGAAGTCTTCGGACTGGAAGGGGGGGTAAGTGTCCGGACCGGAAGGGGGGGTAAGTGTCCGGACCGGAAGGGGGGGTAAGTGTCCGGACCGGAAGGGGGGGTAAGTGTCCGGACCGGAAGGGGGGGTAAGTGTCCGGACCGGAAGGGGGGGTAAGTGTCCGGACCGGAAGGGGGGGTAGTGTGTCCGGACCAGGAGGGGGGGGGAGTGTCCGGACCAGGAAGGGGGGGGAGTCTTCGGACCAGGAAGGGGGGGGAGTGTCCGGACTGGAAGGGGGAGGGGGAGGGGGGGGGGGGAGTGTCCGGACTGGAAGGGGGAGGGGGGGGGGGGGTAAGTGTCCGGACTGGAAGGGGGAGGGGGGGGGAAGTGTTTGGACTGGAAGGGGGGGGGGGGGAAGTGTCCGGACCTGGCGGGGTAATGGGGGTGACACCATGGTGTGTGGGATTGTCTGTCTCTGACAGGTTGTCCTCTTCTTGCAGTCTTCCCGCAGCTCTACTTCCACATGCTCCACCAGCGGAGGAAAGTTCTGTCGGCCGATCGGAAGAAGACCGAATAACCTCCAGCGGCTCGTCTTTCCTCTTATAATTCTCTTTTTTTGATTTTTTCCCCCCAAACTTTTTAGAGACCCAATTGCTGCAGACTTTTTGAGTCCAGCCTTTCCTATGACAATGACAGGATGAGGTAAATCCATTGCAGGAATGATTGATGTGTCCTGTTTACATACTAACACGGGCCGCTGTCCCAGCATGCACTGCAAGAGACTCTGGAATCTGCTGCCTTGCCTTCTTTTTTGTAATCTGACCTTTTTCTGCATTTCTTACTAAATCGCCCCAAGTCGGGCCCCTGTGTCGGGCCCCTGCGTCGGGCCCCCCCCCCCATGCATGCCGCTCTTTTATCTAATGTGACTGCCGCGGGTCCGAGTGTCAGGAACACTGCGCCGATTCCACCACGTGGCTCCCACAGGGGGGGAGAGCAGTGTCCCTGGGGGCCCCAACCTCCCGGAGCTCTACCAGTAAGTGCGGAGTTCTCCCATTGGTCGGTGTGGATCTGATTCTTGTGATATTTGGGTTTTTCTCTTTGTTTCATGGTGTAAATTTTCCCATCAGATCTCCTGATTTATTTCAGATGGAAATGTGATATTAAACCCCAATTTTTTTTTTAACAATTTCAGCTGCTGAGGGTAACCCCCGACATTGTCAGCCTCTTCTTCATGTCTGAGACATTGCCTTTCTGCTGGGATGACCCGGGCCCCTGAGAGCTGGTCCCACTTTCTAGTATAAGGGTGGCTAAGCTTTCAGGGTTCTGTGGGCTGGCCCGGGCCCCTGGGAGCTGGTCCCACTTTCTGGTCTAAGGGTGGCTTGGCTTCCAGGATCTTGTGGTTTGACCTGGGTCCCTGAACACTGGTCCCACTTTCTGGTATAAGGGTGGCTCAGCTTCCAGGGTTCTGTGTGCTGACCTGGGCCCCTGGGAGCTGGTCCCACTGTTTGGTATAGGGGTAACTCCTTGGCTTCCAGAGTCCTGGGGTTTAACCGGTCCCTGAGTGCTGGTCCCACTTCCTGGTATAAGGGTGGCTCAGCTTCCAGGGTCCTGTGGGTTGACCCGGGCCCCTGGGAGCTGGTCCCACTGTTGGGTATAGGGGTGACTCCTTGGATTCCATGGTCCTGGGGTTTAACTGGTTCCTGAGTGCTGGTCCCACTTTCTGGTATCAGGGTGGCTCAGCTTCCAGGGTCTTGTGGGTTGACCCGGGCCCCTGAACGCTGGCCCTGCTTTTTAGTATCAGGGTGGCTCAGCTTCCAAGGTCTTGTGGGTTAACCCGGGCCCCTGAGTGCTGGTCACACTTTCTGGTATAAGGGTGGCCCAGCTTCCAGAGTCTTGTGGTTCGACCCGGGTCCCTGAACGCTGGTTCTGCTTTCTAGTATCAGGGTGGCTTGATTTCCAGAGTCCTGTGTGTTGACCTGGGCCCCTGAGAGCTGGTCCCACTTTCAGGTACAAGGGTTACTCCTTGGCTTCCAGGTTCCTGTGTGTTGACCCCGGTCTCCTTAGTGCTGGTCTTGTTTTCTGGTATAGGGCTGGCTCGGCTTCCAGGGTGCTGTGGGTTGACCCGGGCCCTGAACGCTGGTCCCACTGGCTGGTATAGGGGGTGACTCCTTGGCTTCCAGGGTCCTAGTGTGTTGACCCAGGCCCCTGAGAGCAGGTCCCACTGTCCGGCATGGGGGTGAATCCTTAGCTTCCAGGGTCCTGTGGGTTGACCTGGTCCCCTGAGTGCTGATCCTACTTTCTGCTATCAGGTTGGCTTGGCTTCCAGGGTTCTGTGGGTTGACCCGGGCCCCTGAGAGCTGGTCCCACTAACAAGTATAGGGGTGAACCCTTGGCTTCCATGGTCCTGAGGGTTGATCCGGGCCCCTGAATGCTAATCCCACTTTCCAGTATAAGGGTGACTCAGCTTCCAGGGTTCTGTGGTTCGGGCAGGGCCCATGGGAGCTGGTCCCACTGTCCGGTACAGGGGTGATTCCTTGGCTTCCAGGGTTCTGTGGGTTGGGCAGGGCCCATGGGAACTGGTTCCACTGTCCGGTACAGGGGTGATTCCTTGGCTTCCAGGGTTCTGTGGGTTGGGCAGGGCCCATGGGAACTGGTTCCACTGTCCGGTACAGGGGTGATTCCTTGGATTCCAGGGTTCTGTGGGTTGGGCAGGGCCCATGGGAACTGGTTCCACTGTCCGGTACAGGGGTGATTCCTTGGATTCCAGGGTTCTGTGGGTTGGGCAGGGCCCATGGGAACTGGTTCCACTGTCCGGTACAGGGGTGATTCCTTGGATTCCAGGGTTCTGTGGGTTGGGCAGGGCCCATGGGAACTGGTTCCACTGTCCGGTACAGGGGTGATTCCTTGGATTCCAGGGTTCTGTGGGTTGGGCAGGGCCCATGGGAACTGGTTCCACTGTCTGGGACAGGGGTGATTCCTTGGCTTCCAGGGTTCTGTGGGTTGGGCAGGGCCCATGGGAGCTGGTCCCACTGTCAGGTATAGGGGTGAACCCTTGGTTTCCAGGGTCCTGAGGGTTGACCAGGGCCCCTGAACGCAAATCCCACTTTCCAGTATAAGGGTGGCTCGGCTTCCAGGGTTCTGTGGGTTGACCCGGGCCCATGGGAGCTGGTCCCACTGTCCGGTACAGGGGTGATTCCTTGGCTTTCAGGGTTCTGTGGGTTGACCCAGTCCTCTGGTCCCATTTTCTGGTAAAAGGGAAAGTTCACACTCCATGCGTTTCAGTTGCTTTTTTTCTGCATCCAAAACACACAGAAAGTCGGTGATCTGGTTGTCAGTGTCATAGTTCACATCAGCGCTTGCAGTTCCGGTGCATTCCGATTGCAGAACAAAAAGTAAACAGGCGGCATTTTTTTCTGCACAGAACTGTACTGGAACGCGGTAAAAACTCACCAAAACGCACCGGAACACACATGTCCCTATTTAAATTGAAGAAAAAGAGAGGGAAGGAAATGAACTGGAATGCATAAAAAATTCACTGGAACATGTCAAAAACACGCATGTGGAAATGCACCCGGAACACATCTGGACTGCGTTTCTATAGTGTGAACCGACCCTAAGGGTGGCTGGGCTTCCAGGATCCTATGGTTTGACCTGGGCCCCTGAGATCTGGTCTACCTGGCCGGTACAGGGGTGACTCCATGGCCTCCTAGGTCCTGTGGAACCCTGGCATAGCCATCCCATAGTGGGTGCTCCACAGACTACAGGCACATGTGAGGATGCTGCCCAACACAGGAGACACACCTTCCATTGCCTCCTTGGGCTTCGTTTACATGGGCATACTGTAGTATACACCTGTGTGAGGGCCGGGTGTACCTGCACTGGTGTTCTGTGCATCCCCATGCAGGTGGAACTTCCATTGATGTTCCGAGTTTGCCAGCTGTGCAGGTGCACGCCCCCGAATGCACACTCTCCTCGCCGCTGTGTACCAACTGACATGAATCGGACTGCTAGCACACCTGAGCATCTTCATATGAGCAAACACAGCCCTCGCACAGGTGTATGCTTGTCGTCCACAAACAAAAGGGCGCAAAGGCCTCCTGGCCATATTAGGAATATAAAAATGGTGGGTGGTGACCATCAACTCTTAGCCAGAAGAGGGATTTTAAGCCAATGCTGCCCTCTTGAGATTGGGGAGTCTGGAGAATACACAAACAAAACCAAAGGATGCAAAGGCCTAGCACATTACCACCGGCGCTGTTAGGGAAAAAGAAAAAATACGATGCGTACATGCTCACAAGAGCAAATGGTTAAAACCCGCGTTGTACATACAACCAGGGACCAAACATGGAACTCACATGGTCCATCACATGAGCAAATGGGTAAACCCGCGTTGTACATACAGCCAGGGACCAGAAGATGGAACTCACATGGTCCATCACATGAGCAAATGGTTAAACCAGCATTGTACATACAGCCAGGGACCAAACATGGAACTCACATGGTCCATCACATGAGCAAATGGTTAAACCCGCGTTGTACATACAGCCAGGGACCAGAAGGTCTTTCAGAAGATGGAACTCACAAATGGTTAAACCAGCGTTGTACATACAGCCAGGAACCAAACATGGAACTCACATGGTCCATCACATGAGCAAATGGTTAAACCAGCTTTGTACATACAACCAGGGACCAGAAGATGGAACTCACAAATGGTTAAACCAGTGTTGTACATACAGCCAGGGACCAGAAGATGGAACTCGCATGGTCCTCACATGAGGAAATGGTTAAACCAGCTTTGTACATACAACCAGGGACCAGAAGATGGAACTCACATGGTCCATCACAAGAGCAAATGGTTAAACCAACGTTGTACATACAACCAGGGACCAGAAGATCTTCCAGAAGATGGAACTCACAAATGGTTAAACCAGCGTTGTACATACAGCCAGGGACCAGAAGATGGAACTCACATGGTCCTCACATGAGGAAATGGTTAAACCAGCTTTGTACATACAACCAGGGACCAGAAGATGGAACTCGCATGGTCCTCACATGAGGAAATGGTTAAACCAGCTTTGTACATACAACCAGGGACCAGAAGATGGAACTCACATGGTCCATCACAAGAGCAAATGGTTAAACCAACGTTGTAAATACAGCCAGGAACCAGAAGGTCTTTCAGAAGATGGAACTCACAAATGGTTAAACCAGCGTTGTACATACAGCCAGGAACCAGAAGATGGAACTCACAAATGGTTAAACCAGCGTTGTACATACAGCCAGGAACCAGAAGATGGAACTCAATTGAGTCCTAATACCAGCTGATGTGTTGCGAGTTTTGGTCTAAGGAAGGGGGTTTGCCCCTCAAAAAAACTCGTCAGCTGGTGTTATGACTCGTGAGGACCATGTGAGTTCCATCTTCCGGTTCCTGGCTGTATGTACAACGCTGGTTTAACCATTTGTTAGGAAATAAAAAACAACGAGTCCATACTTACATGTGCAAATGGTTAAACCAGCGTTGTACATACAGCCAGGAACCGGAAGATGGAACTCACATGTTCCTCACGAGTCATAACA